TACTTGCAGCTCTCCCCGGTCTCCCTGTCGTCAAACTCGAGCTTGCCCAAGACAACCCTTCGATTGATGCCCCGGCTACGACCAGCCCCCCTCCAAACCTCAAGAACAGGGATTCAGAAGTAGAGGAAATCTTGGATGCAAGGGTGAGGTACAAACGGCTGAACTACTTCATCAGATAAAGAGGACCGCGCCCTTCCCGCAGTTACTGTGGTAGACATTCAACTGATAGTCCAATATCGAAGTTTCCGGCTGAGTCCACCAGTGTAAAAGATCAAGAGTAGATGAGATGATGTCAGCCAGATAAGAGATAAGAGATAGTTCCAAACCTTGTAAACTATTCAGTTGAGTGTCTGAAGGCTGACGGATCAAGATAAGGCCACGCCGTTAAATGATCCGTACCAATTCCGTAAGATAAGATCAAGTTGTTATCTCAGGGCAGAAGATGCGATGGAAGTGTCAATGACGACTTAGGATCACACAGATTTCAGAGTCAAATGTGTAGTATTGTGGGGTAAAGAAGCTAGCCCTACTACAGAGGGATGGACTCCCTATTTATACACTACTAGGTATGAGTCAGAAAGGCTGCGGAGTTACTCATAGACTCCGACTGCTGCGGACTCCGTTCCGAGTCAGCTGTCATATGTCTAAAATCAGCGAGGGTATTAGTTCCATCACAAAGCCCCCCCAGTTTAGATTAATTGAAAACAATGCAAGTAAAGAATGAATAATGTCCAAATCACAAGTCAGTCACCGAAAGACATTCCATCTCCTCAGCAAGCTCCTCGACAGACGCATCAGTAGCCTCAGCAACGTCCGCTGTCATGGAGCCTGCTTCCCAGGCCTGTCCAGCGTAGGTGAGAAGTGACATTGTTGCCCTTCCCTGGTCAATGGAGACGCAAAGATGAGTCGCACTGGGTGACAAAATTCCTGCGCAGGTCTTGGTAACCCTGTTCCGAAAAACCGATCTCCAATGAGTGCCTGAGTGCCCAGAGTGACATTGCGGGGAAAACTCGGAGCCAAAACCAAGCGCAACTCGGCTACTGTCCACCCAATTGCCGCTCCCCAATTCGTCTCCTGCAGGCGAGGTCCCGTGGCCATCGTTGCCCAAATGCCATCAGCGATGAAGAATAAGTAGTACGCAACAACATCACAGAGGGTTTTTCCGAATTGTTGTGCCAAGGCGTGAGTGTCGAAGAAGCGCTGATCAAGCAACCCAGCCGGACAGTTGTGGAACAAGATGATGGCTGGTCCGACACCAAATTTGAAGCCCAAATTCTCCAAAGTAGTGGTATCAATGGAGACGGGAAGACATCGATTGCCGCAGTAAGGGATAAGGAAGTTATTGGCAGCACTAAGAGTGATGATGGCCAGGCTCCGAAGCCCTTTGAGGTACAGCCGCGCAATGGAAGGGGCCACTCGGTACTTTGTCTGACCATCCACCGCGACGGCCTCGATATGCCCCAAGGTGATTGCCGGTACTATGATGGAAACCGTAACGGTTTTTGGCACCCGTAACGGTTTTTCCCGTTCTTATCCCTCATTTCTGAGCCGATTTGCCTCGGAGGAGGCGCATTGCAAAGAGGAGATGGATCCCTTTCTTCTGGTATACAAAGATTGGCAGTAGTGAACCAGGAAATGACAATTACTTAGAGGGAATCTGAGGTCTTGTTCACACATGTTGCCGAGTTTGGCAGATCCATCAAAAAAATTGAGCCTTGCATCTAAGGCTTTAGTCCCGTTGTACCACTATGATATGTGTACTATTGGATGCAGAATAAGTAGCAGATTGTAATGCCCCATCTCCGAGGCAAATCGGTGGGGAAATAAGGGAGAAAAATGGCGGAAAACCGTTACGGGTGCCAAAAACCGTTACGGTTTCCATCATAGTAAGTCAAGAGCGGAAGTCAAAAGCTGCTGGAAGACCGCCAAGGTGGAGGGAGAGGTGATCATTGTGCTCCATGTGGTCCGAGGGTTCTGCAGATCGGCAATTGGCACGAGGCGTGTCTCTGCCGTCGGGGGGAGTGGTGCTGGGTAGCGTGGTTCGGTGGCCGACAATGGCTGGATGTCCATTGGGGTGTACTGTTCGTCGGCCACCAAAGGGCTGATAGACGGGAAGTTTGTCGAATGGAATGATGGTGAGCGCAGTGTAATCCAAATTGTCGGTCGGAGACGTCATATTGGAATAAATGAGAGCAAGGGGTTGGGAGCGAGAGAGATAAAGGAATAGTACACTCATAGGTTAAGCTGGTCTTAAATAGGGCTCCTGATTTACGTTTCGACATTGTCTCAGGACTTTCCGGAAGTATCCAGCCATTCTTGAAGGACAGATGGTGCATGGCAGAGCGCCCGCTTGGTAAGCCATTCGTCGTGTTCGGCACTGAAACCCTTCCATTGGACCTTGAACTGCTGAATACGGCGGCCGCGTACCTTGCGCCATCGTTCGCCAATGATCTGCTGAACCTCGACTTCGGGTACGATGTCAAAAATCATCATGATTTAAAGTTTTTGCAGGTCGTGGGCCCAAATCCTCCGGTGATTGTTGGTAGCGCTCAAGATGGGCTATGTTCAAAATGGGGTGAATACCGGCAGACGAAGCTGATAAGTGACTGGGCTGATTTTTCGGATGATCTCGAAGGGTCCGTCATATCGCATCAAAAGTTTCTGGCCTTGACCCTTTTCGCGACGGAGCAGATTTAGCGAGTGCGGGTTGAGTACGACAAGGTCACCTTCATCAAATTCATCATCCCACCTTCCGTCATTATAGGATCGACGTTGGTATGTTTTGCGCCAAGAGTAGTGCTTCTTGAGCTCGTGTGCGGAGTTCGCGATCAGTGATGACTTGGCGAGGCAATCCGTATTGCGAGACCACATGTTTGAAGAAGAGCTTGGCGGTGTCGAGTTCAGAGATTTCGGATTTGCAGGGAATAAACAGAACATACTTCGTGAGTTTGTCGACAATGACGAGTATGTTGTCGAAGCCATTTGACAGGGGGAGTTCAGGAATGAAGTCCATAGAGACAACCTTGAATGGCTGCGTCAGGATAGGGATAGGCTGCAGGAGGCCAACAGGCGCGTGGCGTTGGGGTTTCGTTTTCTGGCAGATATCACACGTGGCAGTGTATTGCTTCCCATCGCGCGACATGCGAGGCCAATAGTAATGTGAAGCGATCCGGTTGTATGTTCGGTGGTACCCGGCATGCGCTGATTCGGTGATAGTATCGTGAATCTCACTAATCATAGCTGTCCTAAACTTTGCTGGCACGCAGAGTCGATTGTTACCTTGCCCGTCCTCAAAATACAGGAGTCCTGAGTCAGCCAAGTGATATTGGGGCCAATGTGGATTCTTCCAGTCGGACTCCTGCTTCCAGTCGCGGAGTACACGGGAAAAATGAGGATCCTCCTGATAGCCGGAAGCCCATGCCTGCTGTTCGTCAGCGGAAATGCCGACCAGTATCGAGTAATTTCGTGACGTACAGTAAGGACATGCCAAAACTTCGCTCATTCCTATGGTGTAAGCATTAATACGGACCATATTCGGACTTGGCGGATCTTCCTCCAGATCTATCTGCTTGCTTGCAATCGTAAGTAATTTTTCCTCGAAACGGGGACCAAGTTCTGCGTACATATCTCTGAGCGGATCGGCAGCGAGTAACTCGATGGCTGGCGTAATGTCCGTGGTTGGGCTGTCTTGGAGCGGGACACGACGGCGTAAACGCGAGATGGGATCAACGTTTGAGTGGACGCGTCCAGCGCGGTGCACGATCTTGAGGCCCGGATAAGCAGATAACACGGTACCCCAGGTGAGAAGGCGCCGGTTGACATTCTGAAATGTCCTGCTCCAGGTGAGTGCAGCATGATCAGTTATTGCCGCGATTCGCTCGCCTTCGATGAACGGCTGAAACTTGATCAATGCTTCCTTCAGCGCTAGAGCCTCCCGTTCCGTTGGAGAATAATTTCGTTCTGCAGATTTCAGTACTCGTGACCAGTAGGAAATAACTCGTTCAATATGGACGCTAGTATTCTCGAATTCGTCAGCCCAAGTGCCAACGGGCGGAATATCTTCAAAGCGATTGATTGCCGTGACAAGACACGGCACTGGCTCACCCGCTGTATACGCTCGTTTAAGGTGTTCGCAAGTCGCCTATCTTGATGGGCTGAACTTGTTGTAGTATGCCCGCAAGGCCGTAGTTGCAGGCATCCGTGTAAACCCGATAAGGCTGTCCTGCGGTAGCATAACCTCGTACTGGCGCGTTGGTCACGGTGAGGACTTGTTTACATAGCTCAAAGGATTCTTGGTGCAGCGCTGTCCATTCCCACAGGACGCCCTTCTTGAGCAACTGAAAAAACGGCTGAGCTAACCACGCATAGAACGGTATATATGATGAGAAGTATACCATCATGCCCAAGAATTGCTGTAGTTCCAGCACGTTTCGTGGTTCGGCGAGCTGGACAATGGCGTCAACCTTTTCACGATGAGTCAATAATCCGAGATGCAACACCTTCTGGCCAAGGAGAAGCAGCGACTGATACCCAATATGACATTTGGGTGGTGATAACGTGATGTTAGCTTCTGCGATGGCGGAAAAAACTAGATCAAGATGTCGAATGTGGTCGTCGAAGGTGAGTGAGAACACCACAATGTCGTCGATATAGACCAGAGCAAAGACCCATAGAAATGGCGCCAAAACGTTCTGCATTACCCGCTGGAAGACGCTGGGCCCGTTCCGATAGCCGAATGGCATTCTGCGAAACTGCCATAAGCCTCGGTGGGTCCGAAAAGCCAGTTTTTCTGCAGACGCGTCAGTCACCGTAAGTTGAGTAAAGCCTGCGAGCGCATCAAGAGTCGTCAGCCACTGTGCACCAGAAAGTGCTTGAAGAATATCGTCTTGTCGGGGCAAGGGGAACTCATCAGGGACAACCATTTCATTCAGTTTGCACAAGTCTATAACCATTCGTGGTTTGCCATTACGGTAGACGATGAATACGGGAGCGGCCCAGTTTCAGCTTCTGGTTCCGTCGATGAATGCTAGCGCGCGGGACTTGTGCAGGTGGGGAACGCGGAACTTGGGCCTTACTTGGAAGGCATGGCCCTCGTCGTCAGTCATAGATGGCGCCGTTGAGCTTTCCACGCGGGAGCGCCTTCCTGAGTTGCCAAATTGAAGGTAAGTGATTCCATCGTTACCCAGAATGGACATTGAGTACTGGTCAGCGAAATCGTTTCCCAGGATTAATGGGGCAGTCATCCCGTCGACCACATATGCGTCGACATTCAGCTTTACTGGTCCTTCCTCGGTGTGGAAGTACAAGTCCAACGTCACGAAGCCCGAGATTGAAGACTTGCCGGTGACCTGGATAAGCCGTATATCATGCCCTGTCTTAATCTTCAGCCGCGTGGTGAGTGATTCGAGTGCCTTCCGCGATATTAGGGTGATGTCCGAGCCAGGATCAACGATGACTCGTATTGGGTCAGTGGTGATACTATTGACTGTTGTGACAGTCTCGGTGGCACTCGATCCTAAGAACGAACTCCCCGGCGGTCGAGCCATGTGCTTCCGTAGTTCAATAACAGTCTTTCCTTCGTCGTCTGGTGAGTGGACCACGTGGTAATTGTGTGCGCGAATTTCTCGAGCTAACCGTCTGCATGTTTTCCGATTCAGAGCAGGCTTTGCAGCGAATGTCGAGCAATCCACCTGCCTTCTGTCAAGCAGCTCAGTGGTTCCGTTGCCTTGCTTCTCAGGTAGTGTAGAGCACGGGTCAGGGTCAGGGTACTATGAGGCCAACCCTGACCCTGACCCGGCTCAACCCTGACCCTAAACGGGTGCGGGTTGACCCTAACCCGGAGTACCCGCGGGTCATAACTGAAAGCAGAGAAAAAACTGCTTCAAGTAAAATAAAACATGAAATTATTGATTATCTAGACACGCTGCCTCTTCTCCGACTGTCCCGACCCCCCAGCCTCCATCTCAATCTCCTCCCCTGCCTTACGCTTACCCAACATCTTTGCACGATGCCCCATATTAACCTTGATTGCCTCGATGATGTCTGTATTGCGTACGAGGTCGTTACGACTCCAGCTGCCAAAGCAAAGGCACTTTCGAATGGACGCTCCCGTTAGTCGATTACGTGTGTACACCAGAAGGTGGCGGCCTTGAGAAAACACCCGTTCCACCGCAGTCGATGTTGCTAAGAGGAGTGTTCATCAGTCTCGAGAAATCTGAGTTCGAGAAATTGTACATACACGGAATACTCAGGTAGTCCAGTGCCATTCGGGTCAGGTGAGTCCCTTGACTCGGTATTCCCCTCCAGAGCTGAATTATTCCCCGTCTCTAGCAAGTCTGAGCTGTCTTGCTGGATCAAAGGTTCAGTAGGCTGGAGGGGGACGTCAAAACCCTGCCCAAGTTCAGCACCATCGGAGTCTATTTCGAGGCTATAGTAGAGATCGTCATATGCGCTCTGGGCCTCAATTTCTTCATTGGATGCCCCAGCAAAGTTGACGCGCCGTCCTATTACCCTTGTAAGCGTATTTACACTCGTTGTCCCAGTGCTTACCGCTTCCGCAATGTCGGCAGGGGACGAGCCCCTTTTGACTCCGGGGTCGGCTTCTTCGAGTGGTGCGCGCTTCTTTCTTCCTTGACGCAAATGCTGCGTTGCGACGGAAGTCCTCGATACCCTTCATGCTTACTTCGTCCAGTATATTGTCCTCAAACAGATGGTTTTTCTCGAGGATAACAAGGAAGTTCTCAACTTCAGCTCTGAAACAGACGCCCAGAATCTCGAAGTCATTCTCTAGGTAGAAGCAGTCCCAGTGGTATTTATCGCCCCATGTTGGCAGTGGCGGTAAGGGGATCTGCTGTGCATCAAACAAAATTTTTGCTTGCTGACGAATGTCATCCAGCGCTTGACGCAGAATGTTGTAGTTAGGTCGATAAAATCGATATGCTCGAGATTCCGGCTCTTCTGGAGTGTTCGTGAGGACTGGTACCCATTCGACCAAGCTCAGGAGATGTGAAAGCATATCAAATTCGCCTGAGAAGATTTCGTACAACCGTCGTGGAGTCCCTTGACAATCGAGCAGGTAGTCCTTCTTGATAAAGGGAGCTCCGAAAGCAAGAGCTTCTTGTTGCCTGGTCACGATATGCTTTTGACTAGAAATCCTTCGCCGCGCACTGAAGGTAGGGAGGCTGATGACCTGGCGGTTCGGATCAACAGACAAGTCCAGCTGGTCATCGTCGAGCGGTCCATACATCTCCAAGAGTGGATGTATTGCGCGGAGATCATCAGAGTCGGGTTCCAAGGGTATTTCGTCATCGCGAGATTGCTGATGACATGCTTTCTCACAACAGTGAGAAAAGACAAGAAAATGCCAGAGTCCTTCAAAGGGCTCCAACAGCAACTAGAGCTAACAGCTCAAGAGAAAGAGAAGGAAGAGAATATGATAATCAAAACTACTACATGCCTTTTATACTAAAGCATACAGGAGAAAGAGGAACAGGAACCAGGAACTGAGGAACATAACTGCAAGAGGAGCCCGGAAAGACAGCATATCCGGATCAATGCTGACTAAGCACGGCTGATGAGCCTCGGCGGCTCGTCACTGAGGAGATAATGGTTGGTGATCAGAGTACGGAGAGTGGCGATTGTGGGAAGAGGACCGCGCCCTTCCCGCAGTTACTGTGGTAGACATTCAACTGATAGTCCAATATCGAAGTTTCCGGCTGAGTCCACCAGTGTAAAAGATCAAGAGTAGATGAGATGATGTCAGCCAGATAAGAGATAAGAGATAAGAGATAGTTCCAAACCTTGTAAACTATTCAGTTGAGTGTCTGAAGGCTGACGGATCAAGATAAGGCCACGCCGTTAAATGATCCGTACCAATTCCGTAAGATAAGATCAAGTTGTTATCTCAGGGCAGAAGATGCGATGGAAGTGTCAATGACGACTTAGGATCACACAGATTTCAGAGTCAAATGCGTAGTATTGTGGGGTAAAGAAGCTAGCCCTACTACAGAGGGATGGACTCCCTATTTATACACTACTAGGTATGAGTCAGAAAGGCTGCGGAGTTACTCATAGACTCCGACTGCTGCGGACTCCGTTCCGAGTCAGCTGTCATATGTCTAAAATCAGCGAGGGTATTAGTTCCATCACACTATGACGTGTTGCACAATCAGTGGGTCTGCTTTGACTGTGTCTTTTCTGTTGAAGTATGGCACGGCTGGCTATATAGCTGGCGTGCCTCATCTGAGGCACGCATATGCTTCCCTCTTAATTTCGCTTCTCTACTATCTTATCATCACTCTATGTTGCCTCAACGACCAAGTACATATTCATCGCTCACTCAGGAGCATACTCTCAGTTGTTCACATATCATGCCCCAACTGAGGTATGTTTCCTCATACCTATACTAGACAGGGCTGGGGCTATGCCCCAGCTTTGAATGTTACTTGAATAAAGTGAATTTCCCTACACAAAAAAAAAAACCATCAATTGCATAATAGCACACAGGTGCACAATAACCCAATTAAATATCTGCTGTACTATTATCCATATAGATTGCAACCCAAGTCAGCAAACTTTATATACATATTCATTGATTAATTTGTTGGCAAATTGAGAGTCCCATGACTTAGGTGTTAGCATAGTAAATAACCCTAGATACTAATGTTTTTATGGTACTGGGTGCAGGATATCATGTACAGCTTTGTATCCCAATTAGGATCAGTTACATTTTACAGCTTTTGTTACCAACTGGAGCTCCAAAAACGCAAATGTGGAGCAAATGAATTGCTAAGGCCATTAGGGTGCTGTGAGTTGTATCTGTTCCGAAACCCATTTCGAAATGGTTTCAAAACAGGTGTGAGTTTTGAAATCTCTGCGAACTGACCACGGTTTCGAAACAGGCACATGATGTCTCCGGGATGCCCAGAGGTTTGACATTCACGTGATTCTATATTTATCTCCAAGAAAATTGCGGAGTTCTATGATAAGTACCCTGGCAAACCACAACACATTGCCTCCATGACCTTTGACTTGATTCTGTTCCCGTCTATTTGGGATGCCATATTTGAAAGCTTTCTCCCCCCCCCCTTTTTTCAGCCCCTTGGAGACAAGTCCGATCCCGGTCCAACTCCGATTCTGATTCCGGTCTGGTCTGGTCCTCCATTTCATGTGCACAATCACCGATCCGTCAACACCCTCCCAATAGTTGCCCTGAGACCTCGCCTGTGATGCCACCCAAGCCTTCTATGCTGACAGCGGCAGTATATAGTCACCTCCCTAGCAGGAGTTTCTTCTCTTTGGATCATTCTCTGCTAGGTCAGCTTCATTTGTATTTGCTTACCAATGTTCATGCTTTGGATCCTCCCCTGCTAGGAACTTGATGTCAGACCTCCTGGTTTGCCCTGACAATGATTGGCAGATGAGCATTGGTGATCCTTTCTGATCATGTGGATGATAAACTCTTACCTGTTCCTTATCCAACTTCACCCTTTTATTCAGATGTTATATTCTAAGTCGTATTCTAATATGTATACTCTAAACATACTAGCCAAGTGTATATGAAGTTTTGATTTGTCTCTCTATTCTATTCAAGATGCAATGTTTCATCAGCAGAAAGCAGTAGTTGTATGATTCCCTGATGTCCTCTACTAAGAGCTTCACTAAGTGGAGTTCTTTGTTCAGTATCCATAGAGTGAGGATCTGCCTGAGCATGCAGGAGTAGCTTGATAATACTCTGGTAGCCTTTTCTTGTTGCTTCATGCAGTGGAGTCCTGTGTTGTCCATCCAGAATATCAGGATTTGCATAAGAATCCAGTAACAATTTTACAATACTCCAATTGGCACTTTTCACAGCTTCATGCAGAGGACTTGGACCTTTATAAAGAGAGCTTCCTAATTTGTTATCTATACCATTAGGATTTGCATGTGCATTCAAAAGAAGCTCAATAACTCCTTGGTGACCTCTTCTTGTTGCTTCATGAAGAGGAGTTCTATATCCTGTGTCTACTACATTAGGATTGGCTTCTGCATCTAGCAATAACTTGACAATTGTCTGATAGCCTCTTCTGGCTGCTTCATGAAGAGGAGTCCTATACTCTTTAGTTACTGGATTTGGATTTGCACCAGCATTCAAGAGCATTTGAACAATTTTTCGATAGCCTGCAATTGCAGCTTCATGCAGAGGAGAGATATGATCTCCATCTACTGCACAGGGATTAGCATGAGCATTCAGCAACAGCTCAACAATGCTCTGGTGGCCTCTTCTTGCAGCTTCATGTAGAGGGGTCCTTTGATCACCATCTATAGAATCTGGATTTGCCTGAGCATCAATCAGCAGCTTTGCTATAGTCCAATATCCTCTTCTAGCAGCTTCATGTAGGGGAGTTCTATATCCTTCCTCTATGTTAACAGGATTTGCATGAGCTGTTACAAGTAGCTCAACAACTGTTTGAAAATTCTCCGTTGCAGATTCAAGTAGAGGGGTTCCAACTTTAGTAGTTCTAGAATCTTGATCTATGATGCTAGATAAGTGATCTATCACATATTTCATTTGGTAATCAGGGGGGGTCACCACAGTATGACTTGGATCTATAACATCTGCATAGTTCTCTGTGAGTTCAGCTGTTGAGCTTTTGACTCTGAAATAGGAACTTCTAGACTCCATTGTAACAGGATGGTTCTCTGATACTAATTGAGGTAGAGGATATGGGGCTTTATTAGCAGTATGACTTGGATCTATGACATCAGGATTTGCATTTGCGAGCAGCAGTAGTTCTACAATACTCTCATGGCCTTCTGTTGCAGCCTCCAGAAGGGGAGTCCTGTATTCTCTGTCCATAATATCAGGACTTGCATTTGTCTGCAGTAGTAGCTCAACAATAGGCCGGTCACCCATCTTGGCAGCTTCATGAAGGGGTGTTCTCCATCCTCTATCACCTATATCAGGACTTGTATGGGCATGTAGAAGCAGCTTCACAATCATATGATCACCACTAAGCACAGCTTCATAGAGTGGGGTTCGATGGTCTCTATCTATAGCATTAGGAGTTGGATGAGCATGGAGAAGAAGCTCTATAATTGACTGATCAGCTCTTATTGCTGCCTCATGAAGAGGAGTTCTACATTCTCTATCCACACAATCAGGTTCTGCATTAGCATCTAGAAGCAGCTCCACAATGCCCTGATAGCCTCTTCTCACAGCTTCATGGAGAGGGGTCCTATGTTCCCCATCTACAGCATTAGGATTTGCATGTGCTTGGAGCAGTAGCTTAACAATTATATAGTGGCCTTTTCTCACAGCTTCATGGAGAGATGTTTTATGCTCTTTATCAGTGATATCAGGATTGGCATGAGCATTTAGGAGCTGCTTAATAATAGTTATGTGGCCTCCTTTGACAGCTTCATGAAGAGAGGTTTTACATTCTCTATCTTGAGCATTGCAATCTGCTCCAGCACTGAGCAAAATCTGTACTAGTTCAGCATGACCTTGCCATACAGCTTCATGCAGAGGACTCCTATTATCTCTATTGACAATATTTGGATCTGCTCCTGCATCTAGTAAAAGTTGGGCCACTCTTGGTTCACAAGCATACAAGGCAGCATAAAGTGGGGTATCACCCTCCATGTCAATAGCATTATAGTCTGCTCCAGCTTTCAGTAGAATTTGCACATGTCTCAGGGATTGTGCCAAGTTCCCTGTCCTCAGAGCTATGTAAAGAGAATTCATTCCATCATCATTTTTCCAATTAGGGTCTGCATTATTGGCCAAGAGTAGTTCCATAATCTCTAAATGACAATACCGTGTTGCTGCAATCAATGCACTATTTAGTAATATTTCCCTATCAAGACCTGCTGCCATATTTTCTTGGAAATGCAAGTCTATCAAGAGTTTTTGTGTAATAAAGACAAGATTTCCTGCACTAGCAATCCATAATGGACCTGGACATATGATACGTTTATTGGATGTAATTCTCAACTCCCATGGGTCAATATACCACTGCACTGGAGGGTCCTTGATATTATGGAGAAAAGTCAAGATCCTGTCCTGAAGTGCTCTCTCTCCTGCACCATATGCATGGAGGATAACATACTGACTATAATCAAAGAGTGGGAATTGGGCATATGGTTGCTGATTGTAAGGCCTTGGTATCCAGTCCAGATACTTTAGAAGACAGGAAGTAATATGAACATGGATTCCTGGGAAGATTGTTTTTTCTCTCTTTTCCAGAAATGTTTGGGCTGTATAAT